TAAAATTTAGCAATATCAACACGGGTGCTGATGTACCAGCCTCCTTCAACCTTGCCATTGCATCCCTAGCGTGCTCTGTCCAAACAGATTGCCCCTTTTTCAAAAACTCTGTCACGAGTTTTGTGATTTTTCCATAGTCCTTCATGATTCCCCTGTAGTATCCTGTCAAGCCTAGGAACCCTCTCAAAGCCTTTAGAGTTTTAGGTTTTTCCCACTCCATTACTGCCCTTATCTTTTCCTGATCCATCTCAACGCCCCTCTTAGAAATTTGGTGACCTAGATATCTTATCTATGATCTCCCAAACTCACATTTCTTCCTATTAGCTATCCAATTATTATGTTCCAACACCTGCAGTACCACTCTCACATGTTTCAAGTGCTCCTCCCAATTCGGGTTGTATATCAATATATCATCAAAGAAAACCATCACAAATCTCCTCAAATAAGGTTGTAATAAGTTGTTCATGGCGCTTTGAAAGGTTGCTGGCGCGTTATTGAGGCTGAAAGACATCACCAAGAACTCATAATGGCCCTGGTGAGTCCTTGTTAGAAAAGATGTGCTCTGTTTCTCACACCAAGAGGAGGGAGGTGAATTGGTGTTGTATAAAAATGATCACTAATCTAATATAGGCAAATACAAAATGACTAGCAGCAAGAACAATCCTCTTTACAGTCACCCTTTTGAGACCCTTCTCAAAGTCAAGAACCAAGTTCTTTTTCCTGTATACACAACAGGGAAATAATAATACTCAGCGTTTGCTAAAGCTCCTGATCAGCAGTAAGCACCTCTATTGTGCAAAACGATCAGACTTTACGAATCAATCAATCTTGCTTCTCAAGAAATCTTCAAGACTTGTACACCACAACAATTATTGTTTCTTGAAGCATTTCTCTCTTCTGTAAAACTTCAAAGCTCAATATGAAACTAATATGAAAATTGTTAAACTCAATTGTCTTACAGAATTTCAAATCATGAGTCTATATATAGTGTAAGTCAAATCAGACGCAATTTAATCGATTATGCTATTATTCTAATCGGTTTCATCTCACAGTTATAACAGATCAACAAAAGTCAAAACCATTAATTGAATGATCACTTAATATAATCGATTTGCAATAAATGTTTGGTCAACATATTTAAAAATATGACCGTTGAGATAGTTATGTCAAAAAATGAAATAGTTTTCAAATCTTTAACAGACTTAATTGAATACATGATCCATGTAATCGATTAGGCTTTAACACTTAGCATATTTTTGAAATTTTTTCTTCTTAAAATCCATCAAAGCACACTTGAAAAATATTTGTGCAAAGATAAAAGTTTTAATCGATTTAACCACTAACGTAATCGATTCAAAACTTGTTGTTTTGCCACAATTTAAAAGTTAAGTTGTCTAATGACATTAATTGATTAACACACCATTGTAATCGATTAAGTCATACAGATATGCTTGGTGTATGTTGTTTTTCCATTTCCAAAATTTATATTATGCATGCACAGATATAATCACATTTCAAACACAATAGTATGCAATAATCAACACAATATGTCCACAACTATGCTTGTACAAATCTCACAATAAGCATAAGCATATGGAACACAAATAACACAGTACATACACATGTGTTTTTATTAACAATGTGTTGTCATCATAAAAACATATATCACAGAGATTATGGGTTCAACTAACATTGTGCTTCCCTTATCAACAATCTCAACAATCCTAAAGGTTGTTTTATGAATGTCTCTCTCACCCATCCTAACCTGGTGATAACCCGCCTTCAAATCCACCTTAGAGAAATATCTAGCTCCTCTCAATTCATCCAAGAGCTCTTCTATCACAGGAATCGGGAATTTATCTGGTATGGTTGCATGGTTCAAGGTCCTATAGTCCACACAAAAACGTCAGTTGCCATTTTTTTTCTTAACCAAGATTACTGGACTGGAATATGAGCTGGTGCTTGGCCTGATAATCCCTGCCCTCAACATCTCAGCCACTTGCTTCTCAATCTCTCCTTCCATCAGGTGTGGGTATCGGTAAGGGCACACATTTACTGGATCAATCCCCTCCTTAACGGGAATTTGATGCACCATTATTCGTTCTGGGGGCAACCTCCCTGTTTCTTGGAAAGCTCTGGAGGATAACCATAGTATTTCCTCCAACTCCTCCTCTTATGTCATGGTCAGCCCTGGAAAGTCTTCCACCTCTGCCTCCTTTTCCACCTGACCCAAATCCCAAACCAATGACCACACTTCCACCTTTGTCAGCTTTAGAAGCCTTGGGTTCCACACCTCCTAGCCAAAGCAATGTCCCCTTTAATAACCACCTTTTTCCCTCCTTGATTGTAGCTCATCGTCATCTCTCCTCAGTTCAGCATCACTTCTCCGAATTTGTCCAACCATTCTACTCCCAATATGACGTCCACTCCTCCTAGGTCAAACAAATAGAATTTCTCCTCTACCTCGGATTCCTCTAGGGTGATCAGAACCTTCCCACAACAACCGCTGGTCTTCCTTTTCTGGCCATCACCTAGTCTCACCTAATAAGGTGGCGTATCTTCAATGGACAAGTCCAACTCTAATGCTAACCTTCGACTAATAAAATTGTGGTTTGCACCACTTTCTATCAACACTAATACCCTTCTTTCCCCAATTCTCCCCTGCAACTTCATAGTCTTTGGCTGAGTCAATCCTCCAACTGACAAAGGTGATAACTTCATTTGCTTCTGATCCCGCTCTGTNTCAATACTCTCTAATTCTTCCTTGGTAATTTCTGTTGGCAGAGTTCCTCTAGCGTGATAATTTACTTTTCTCTATACTCTCTCGTCCCTTTTCTATCTCCATTATTTCATAGTGTCTCTCTCTCTTTTTTTTTTTTCCCTTTCTCTATGGCAGAGTGCATATTTATATACACACATTGCAATATTATGGAAATCTTGCCTTAATTGTGAATTAATTGACAATAAAACAAAATAGGGAAATAATTGCCATGGTTGCTAGAAAACAAATTAAAT